CGAGGCCAGAGCCTATTCATGACCAAACTTGGTGGAATGGTGTACTTTACAATTTAACAAACCCACGCTCAATAAACGATTCTCCATGAATCCAGATGTTAACACAACAACAACCTGAAAAGTTGCATCTACGTTCCACAATTTGAATGTTTCTAGCATGACTACTTTCTACATTTGTTACATTATGATTGCAAATAGGTATGTTTAACTGTTAGCCTAGGGTTTTCGTGCCTTTCTTTATCGCTATGAACTTTTAGCGATAATCTGTGCTTCGAACCAAATGCGATTACCAATTCGTATGTTGAGTTAGCTGTAAGACTCTCTTGTAAGCTGTTCTGAGTTCTCTTTCTATTTTTTTCAATGCTGGCTGATCCACGAAAGCTGTTTTCTTGTGCAAAATTTGGAAGAACATTTCTAAGTCAAATGAAAAGAATATGTGTACAGTGAGTAGTGTTACCACCTGTTCCACCTGATTCTGAATGAAGAAAAGCTCTGTATCTCATGCCAAGCTTATAAAATATAGGAAGAACTGTAAGGAGAACAAGTTTGCGAATGGCGAACTTTATCGCGCATGCCGGGCTCGGAAGACCTCCCATCAGCTTTTTTATGCTCGCATGGCAACAAGATGATTCCTCTCGAACAAATTACACGACTGCGTCAGGGTGTTTTGGCATAGCCAGATGGCTTCAACATCTCAAATGTCCCAGATCACCTTGCATGTCTTCGTCATTTCTTGATTGCTAGCATTTCATTTCCTTAGCCGCGCATCCTTGGCGCAAGCGAGCGCGCGGGAGCGCTTGAAACAGTCCCATAACGTCGTTTCTGGGTCACGGCCCCTCCTTGGCGATCGTCGACGCCTTAGTAAAGTCATCGTGCACAGTTATGGGTGCGGCCTATTTTATGTCCAATTTAGGAGTTTCGCATGTTTACCCCTTCATTTACACCCCTTGCAGCCACTGGTTGGTTGGCGGATTCCGTTTCTGAGTGCACTCCTAATGTCCTAATGTGCCGTCGGCGCTTTGCAAATCTCTGATCAAGTCTCTTTTCTGTTCGGAGTCTGGCTAATAGAACGCACACATACACATCAAGTTTGAGGGCTGGGCCCTCCGATGAGGCATCTGGCCTGTTCGTTCGCCCGCTGTTCGTTCATTCGTCATTCTCTTCATTAGCAATCTTTCGTGATATTCCCGTGTCGTAGCGGTCTGGTGGTGATCGTGGTGCTGGTGTTGATGATGATGCTGGTGGTGTTGGTGGTGATATTGTTGCTCATGGTGATGGTGATGCTGGTGGTGATGGCGGTGTTGGTGGTGATGGTGTTGCGGTGGTGACGGTAGTGTGGTGTTGATAGTGTTGCCGGTGGTGATGGTGTTGCCGGTGGTGATGGTAGTGTAGGTGGTGATGGTGTTGCGGCGGTGACGGTAGTGCTGGTATTGATGGTGTTGCCGGTGGTGATGGTTGTGTTAGTGGTGATGATGTTGCGGCGGTGACGGTAGTGTGGTGTTGATAGTGTTGCCGGTGGTGATGGTGTTGCCGGTGGTGACGGTAGTGCTGGTGTTGATGGTGTTGCCGGTGGTGAATGCAGTGCTGGTGTGGTGGTAATGGTGGCGTTGATAGTGGTGGTAGTATTGTAGTGCTGGTAGTTATAGTGGTGTCCGTGGTGACAGGGCCCGGCACGCGTTGGTTTGAAGCGTTTCCGGAAACGAAGTCCCCCATGACTTCGCGAAAATTTACGAAGTTCCTCTTGACGTAAAAGTCAGTAGGGAAACCCTTAATTAGGCAAAATAACATTAAAAAAGCGAAAAAAGCGCATTTTGAGGTAACTAATACAACAAAAAAGCAAAAAAAACATTTCGAGTTGATTAAAGGCTCTGTCATTGGGAGTGTACCATTTTAGCGCTCAGAATGTCGAGAACCTCCTAAGCCAACCAGATCTGTGGCCTCAACAATCTGGCAGTGCGTTTTTCGCCACGTAGTTCAAAGGACACCGCGTGTGATTGGAGCGCAATATCTATCAAGGCGTATAGATTTGCACTACTTTTGGCTCAAAAGAAGAGGAGAGGCAATAGTTTGATTCGCTCTCTTCACTATATAATAGATTTTTGAGCGTTTTGATCGTCCAAATCAAAAAGGTCTAAAACTTATGTGAACTCTCCGAAATTTATGCTCCGAACCAACCCAGTTGGTTCGGTGGTTGGTCTAGAAACCAACAAATCCGGGACGGGTATTCAGACACATAAGTTTTGGGAACTTTTTACATAACATAGATTGGAGTAATATTGTATACTCATAGCCCAAATTCGGAGCCATGTGATTGTTTGTGCGCTGTAAACAAGCCATTTGTTTGTTTGAGTCTTGCATTTGAAATTCGCGCGCTTGCGAAAGAACACGTTCAACTCGTGAAACCTGACATGTTCGTCGTGTTTTTTGGCGCTTCCTCCAGGACCTCATAAAAACGATGTCCCCGTTGCTTCTAACTCCAAAAACGAAGTCCAGTTTGACCCCAAACCATCGGTGCCGGGCCCTGCGTGGTGATAGTGTTGCCGGTGGTAATGGTGTTGTTAGTGATGATAGTGATGCTGGTGGTGATGGAGTCTCTGGAGGTGATAGTGCTGGTGGTTAAAGGCAGTGTCTCACCAAAATTTAGTTGCCGAAATTTTTGCATTTTGCAAGCCTGTCGGAACCTGTCTAGCACTGTATGGGCTTAAAATCGCACGAAGTTCCCAAAAACCCCGTTTTCTGGAGGCCCCGCGGAAGCAACGTGGACGAGTTGTACCTTCCAACTTCAGCCTCAGCCACAGTGGCAGCAACAGAGGGGAGGTGGATACCAAGTGGAGGGACATGTTCAAACGCGTAAGGGGGGAGACCGAAGGAGTCGTCCGCGCGTACCAACTGGCTCTCCGCGTACCACTTTGAGCGAATTTTTCTCAGCGTAGAGGGGGTCAAATTGAGTGGGACTTGTTGCAATGGCCTATCTAGAGGTCCCTATAATAGAATATGTAAAGATCCCCGCGACCTCAACTTTGGTGAGACACTGCCTTTAAGTGGTGTTGATGGTGACTGTAGTGCTAGTGGTGATAGCATTGCTGGTGGTGATAGTGGTGTTGGTGGTGATGGTGTTGGTTGGTGTTGCTATTAGTAATGGTGTTAGTTGGTGTTGCTATTAGTAATGGTGTTGGTAGGTATTGCTAATAATAATGGCGCTGGTAGGTGTTGCTTGTGATGATAGTGGTGCTGGTGGTGGTGCGAAAGTATTAGAGAAACGAGTTATTCGTTCGAAACCTTCGATTGATAGAGTTTTTATCGTCATATGCATTCTCTCATTTCGCACCCTCATAGTTTTTTGTTTCTTCGAAACTAGAAACTAGCCCTATGACTATCTTCTTCCCCTTTTCCGATGAAGATGTGAGATATTTCGCTTAACATTTCCGCTGCTGTGTGATGACCTTTCAGGGGCTATCACGCTGGTATTCGTAGTTCTTTGACCTAATTTCTAAACTGCGCAACATGTCCATTCATTCTGATACTCACTATCGGCTATAGCGTAAGCGTGGTAATTTACACCGGTTGAGTTTCATCAAAAATTCCACTAAATATTACTGAATTCTGGACTTTCCGAAATTTTATGTTCTAATCTCCACTTCTCCACCCGGTTTCAGGGCATAAAAGGTAAGCAAATGAATGGAAATAAATTTAGTGGCCATTCAACACTTCTTCCACTTCGTTCCGCTCGCGGCTAACCGTCTAAGCAGTTTGTCAACGCCTAGCCGTGGATATTTCTTCTTCATATCCACTCTTGGTCATTCTTGCTTCTAAAACCCGCACTATGAATCATTCTCCAGGAACGTCGTTCCTTACCCGATCCACCCGACCTATGCAGTCATTTTTATCTTTGTTTCATCAGCAGCGAGTGCTGTCGACCTTCAGAGAGCGCCTTGCGCAACTGCCTCTTCGGCGCTCCGAACCTCCTCCTCCTCCGAGTGACTTGCTCCTCCTCCTCTTCTCGCTCTATTATCGTAGTACTAATAATCGCCTAGTTCGTTACAAAATTCGCGTTTCGCACATTTTTAAAGCAAAATTTTCAAAATCTGTCCTTCCTCTTTTGCAAAGCCAGGGCAGGGGAAGATTTATCGCAAGAGATCTACAATCTGAAAAAGGATGCGGACAATGTGAAGCTATGGATAAGGGGAATTTTTTGCACTTTTGACGGGATACAACCCCTTTTGAAGTCAGTGGCCCAGACCACATTCACCCTCCCACCCTCAATCTGTCTGTAATGCCTTTTATAATTACTTGTTGTTCAGTGTCGTTCTTAAGCTGTTAACTACAGTCACCTCCACCTCGAACAGAGCTTCCTCTTCCTATTGTTTTGCAATTTTTTTCCCACGGTCACCCCCTTTTCCGCGAAATTTTGTGCTCTGAACTTTGTCGAAGATTGTTGCGTTATTGTCTGTTGGAACAATTATCCACCGTATCGTGTTTACAGTGCTTTCGCAATGACCTCAGCCACCCTAAGGTTTCCCTTTCATTTCGAGACTCACTTGTCGAACTTTTTCGCTACGACACTCTGAATAGATCTTCGAATAGATCTCCTCGGAGTGTGGACAAACTGTTATCCTCACCCGACGTACGGTATTAGGTAGGATTAGTGTGATTCCTGAGTGGATCGTCTTTAATGACTTTTAGCATCCACAAGGTTGCTGGGAAGTAAATCTTCTTGCTCGGCTAGTAATCATGTAAATGCTGAGATTGGAGTTCTAGTTTTTTTATAAACGAAATTCGAATAACCAAAAAAAGTTAAAATTGTATCTGAGATTTTCTCAAAAATTAGAATTCATATGATGTAATCTCAAGAACACTCGTATCTAAGATTTATGGCCCCGCGGGATTCATTCTGCGTTGTTTTCATCATCGTTTATCCGTTTGTATCATTTTTCAGAGGTTTTTGTGGAAAACCGTGTTAATTCAAAGATCTGCCGTATTTTTATTCTCTTTACTTCCAGATGCCCTGGTGGGTATTATTGTTGACTTGGGTCGGGACATCATGGGCCCATGTGAGGTTAACATTCCCTCCAGCTCGACTACCCGAATCTGATTTTCTGAGCACAGCTAATAGTCAGCTACCCTGTGGAGTTCCTAAACCACCCATCGATTCGGGTAAGACTTATTTCCTGTTTCTTGGAGTTTTGTACGATTAACAGCTAGAAGAGCAAAATTATGAATTATTTATGATGATTGGGCAACTTCAAGCCTCTAAGCCGGGCACACTTAGTCAAACTGGTTAGAAATGACATTCTTTTGCACTTTTTCACGTCTTTCTCGTCACTAGTAGCAATTAGGAAACTACTAAGAGCAAAGATTTCCGGTTTCCTATCTTGTAGGGAGTTTGTTTCTTGAACTTTTTTGGTTTTTCCGCTTTTCGGATATAAAAACTTTTGAATTCTGCGATGAATCCCTTTCATGTTTCTTGTATTCATTCTCGTGCATGATCTCATTTCATGTACATTAAGAAAGAGGATCGGAGGCAAGTTTTTCGATAACCCTAATTAGCTTTCAATTCGGCGCAAGCTGAGAAAAGTTCAGAAACGAAAACGAGAAACACCTAGCGGTAGATGGGCTAAAAAGCTCTCATCGAATGCGATGACAAGCTTAGATTCAACGCCCCTAAATGTCCCCGATTTCTTGTTTTGGAAGCCCCCGACAAACGGTTCCATGTTCGAGAAGATCCGCGTCGGCTCTCGAACATCGTGACCACCCCCCCCCCCCTCCCGCTTGCCTCGGTCTCGATCCTTCGCACAAAGTCGTAAATTTTGCGACTGTTTTTATCCTGCAACGACCTCTACCGACACGGAGCGGCGGCCGCGCGCGTTCTACAACCATTTCTTTAGGAAAAAGATGACGTTGAATCATTCTTGTTATCTGAATGAATGCACTGACTATTCAAAGCCAACATAGCGTGTACTGAGAGAAGCGAGAAAAACGCATCTACAGTAGCATTTTCTGGGTTTTCTTGTGACCGCGCGCCGCGGCTCGAACGCGTGTCCTTCCTTTTGACCGGAAAAGCCTTGGCAAGGTCAGCCGACGAGATAAATTCAAACTAGAACACCAAATCCTTGAAATTCAATAATCGTTCCAGGACTCCGAACGTTTCTCAAAGCTGGCTCTACCGTAGACCTAGAATGGCTCACTGCTATACCACACCAGGTAAGATTTAGAAATCAAAAATTTTGACGAGGGGGGGGGGGGTTGTGTCGCACCTCGTCAAGTGCCGGCGTTCGTTCGTTATCGCTGCCCGTAATCCCTCCAATTACTCTCTAGCCGCACATTCGTATATCGCGCAATAGATCTCGAGGGCCAAGGTTATCCGCTGGCTTGGCTTTGTACTTTCGCACAAGTAACTTACCAAGTTATTTGCCAATACGGTAGGATTACGATGGAAGCTGTCAGCATGGCGTCAGCAAAAATTAGCTAGCTTTTTAGGAATTTTCAATCAAAAATTTCAAAAATCAGATAGTACGGACACGCTCCTTTAAATGATGAACTTTGTATGAGATTTTAGAGCTAAAAAATGCGATACATTGTTACTTCACTGGGGGCTGTTGCTACAGTATACCTACCGTATCATTTAAAAAACAGTCCTTAGTGCGAAAGTAACGAGATCAGCGCTTGAAAACTTTTGAATTCTCTCAGCCACTCTAGCATTACTCCGAAGACTTATACTACTACTTATACTACTCAAATCACTCACTATAAAGTTTGTTATTACTGTAGGACTACGGTAGGCTATTAGCAGCGCACTAACATGATCGTGAATTGGTTGCCTATATGAGACATTGTTTTGCGATATCTTGAAGCTGTTTGCAAGCGCGTTAGAGTCTAATTTCTCAGGACCTTTGAGAAAATCGCTGCTACAGTACACCTACCGTATCTCCTGGAGAAAGCGCTACGCATTTAGATGAAATTTTCGGCATTATTGTGTAAGAAATTTCAAGAAGTTAAGGCTGCCTTAACGGTTGTGATGTAACCTCAAATTGAAATGACAGTTTAGTTCTTATCGTAATCCTACAGTAATGCCGGCAGTATGATGGCTTTTTTTCAAAGCCTAATACCGTAGCCAAAAGTTCACCGCAAAAAAGGTTACTGAAGAGTGAACATTTTGCTGTATTGTCTTTTTCAGGGAGGAATCCGATTAGAAGTGCTGAACTCGCTTGACGAGCCGATAGCAATTTTTACGAATTTTCTCGATCCTTACAACATCACGTAAGCCTTTCTCCTCGAAATTTCTTCACAGTAGAAAGATGTTTGTAATTTTCAGCAAAAGCAGCAAACAAATCGCTCTTCCGCCACAGTTCGAATGTGCCAACTGCGCGATTCGGATTACTCACCAAGCTACCGAATATGGTGATGACTACTTCTTCTACAGTTGTGCCGATGTGAACATTCTTAAAGGTTCGTGCGCTCTCAGTATTTCCTTGTAAGAGTAATTTCCCTGTTTTTCACGTGGAATTACCCAGATCGGGGTAGTGCATTGGCATCGCGCGCAGCATGGTGACTAACCCATCGAAACAGAACTGTCGAAGAAATAATGGCCCGAAAAAGTGGCTGTGTTGAAATTCCTTTGCACACGTTTTAAGGCACAAAATGCCCTTGAAGGTGATTCGTCTTTTGAAGGGGAACACCCAAGCGAATGCGCCAGCGCACAGTAACAGCTGACCTGGTTTTCTAGAGTGTGTTCGACAAATTTCGAGACACTCAACTTCGTTTTGTATAGATTGTAATCGGAAAAGGATTGGTCGGCATTAAGGAGAAAAGGAGTGTTCCAGAGTGGTATATTTTGTAAATGTTTCCTAATAAAGCAATTACTCAAGTACTTTTTGAATTTGGAGAGGAATTCTCCAAAACATTTTGGTTTAGATGGCGAATATTTGATGTATGAAAGTTCAAAATAGAAAGGAATAAACTGTATCTATTTATAATTATTTATTATTTATTGATCATTTATTCGCTTTTTTGATGTTTTTTGTTGGAACACAAACACCTTTTGATTGCACTAATTTTGAAGCTAGCCCTAAAAATTATCTTTTCTTGTTTTTACGCCAATTTTTATTTCAGCACCTGCATTACTTCGAAAAATAATTACCCAAAAAGCGGCGGTCCCAGAAATTCCGTCTGGGGTGGGGGGGGGGGGGGGGAGGACAAAAAATTTCTACAAATGAAGGTGCGTGTGTTAACGCGTATTGCATTTTTTGGGGCGCTTCTCAAAGCTTTTGCGGGCCCATAACCCCGAAAATTTAGAAAAAGAGGGCGTGGCGTGCTTACAAGGCTAATTTGAATTTTTAACTTGCAAAAGTTTCTAAAATGAAACGTCCCTTCCTCGGTCTACCACTGCCATGGCTAAATTCTTCAAGATTTGGTTCGGGATGGGAATGATAGACTGATTGACAGATATTCTCTGTGAGGAAAAATCAAACAATTTTGAATTTGCATATATTTGTCTAGGAGATAATAGAAAGAATTGCAACTGCGCATTTTTGCAAAGATTGCAAAAACTGCAGTTGGAACTTCTGCAAAGCTCTTTTTTTATTTTTCTCAAGAACTTGTAAACACGTTTCTGCACTCACAAACCTGAATCCAATTATTTTTTCCATTTTGGTGGAATTTTGAACTGACTCAGCATGATAATTAACCTCTAAAGAGTGAATCGTTCCGTTACAAAGACAAACTTTTTGCCACTAATTGCGAACATGAGTCAACTATGAAAAAAAGCTGTTAGGTCAGAAAGTGAAAGTGAGACTTGAAAATTGTCATTATAACGGGTGGTATGAAAGGCAAAGAAAGAATGTTAGGGGTTCAGTCATTAGAAAAATTCATCAGCCCAAAAATATGTAGGTTCTTCCATTCTTTATCTCTTAGGGCTAATGTATGAGGGGAATAGATTTTCCATTCTTTCCTTTTGGAACCTACATATTTTTGGAACTAACAATTTTGTTATTTTTCGAAACTTTCTGCTGCAAGGGATGCCAAATTTTCGAAGTTCTAGACAAACTGCCCTTAACGCCCCTTCATTTCCGTGTAAAGGATTCAATGGTTCAAATAAAATAAATCTGATTAGGAACTCCACAAAACATCAGACTTCAGCGAACTCTTTCCGTAATCCAATCAATCCAACGATGCAGGAACCTTGTTTTTTGAGCCCTCGCATGCTTACTTCCTCGAACTTTTTGCTCCTCCGATATACGCCATAAATTTCGATTGATTCTGGCAAATCTTGATGTCTCAGCACCGCTTTACAAAACGAATCCAATCAATCACACAAAGCAGCGGGTTGAATCAAACACCCTAACTAGGCCATTCGCATTAGATCAATCCCGTGATCAGCAAAAAGGCGCTGGAGATAGAAGAGAAACGGCTGTCATGTAGATTTGCAATTGGGCAACAGGGGAACATTGATCAGAACATGGATATTGCAAAGAGTTGCAGAATTTATTTTTGGGCAAAAAGGAGGGGGGGGGGGGGAGAGAGAGAGAAGTGCAATGCAAGTTCTGGTCGAAAGGAGCGTAAAGTAAGCCTTGACCTTTGAAAAATCTATTAAATAAATATGCCCTGCAAAAAACTGCGTAGTTCTAGAATTTTCCAAAATGAAGAAGATACAGCACGATCTTTTTTGCAAATTCAGTTTTTTATGAACTTAGAAAATTGGTCTATTCATATAATTCCTAAAACCACAGCAATCGCTTACACATTTCTTTTACTCATGCAAACCATTTCAATTTCTGCACCCTCCCCCCACCACCCTTGCGTCGTTACTAATGATCTTTCTTACAGAAATCCCCGATGGAGACACTTGCTTATCGCATGGTACCAGGAAAGATGGAAAATGTAACTGCAACCCCCGATACTTTGGAGATTACTGCCAATATACAGGTTGGTACTTTTCTGTAAGGTTCTCAATGGGAAATAAATAAAAGAAGCAGATTGGTTTTTTCAATACGAGGAATTTTTTTACATTCAGATTGATATAGAGTTCCAATTGTTTGAAACATTTTCTGGATTCCTTTTGTGCAACTTTTCGATTCTCTTCATCAGAGCACTCAAAATTGCCTACTATTACCCGAAGAAAATTGCTCTTATTCTGGAAAAATTGTAAAGAATCAAAGAAAAAAAGCTTGCCCGAATTGTATAATAATATAATCAAAAATAGATTTTGAGTTGCGTAGTGTGCCATGACCAAAAGTGCCGATGGAAACATTCTTCCTTATGGTCCGTAACTTTCCAATGAATAAGATATAAATGCAACAAAATTTATTAACCCTTATTTCTATCTATGTATAAAAAGCAATACTTTTGTTTCCAAAACAAAATGGGAAACCAGATCACGGGTTACATTCGCTACCAAAACTAGTTTGTCCAGTGAAACCAGTGAAACCAAAGCAGAATTTCGAACATTAGGCAGCAGCGATCCGGAAAATGACTAATCTCACACTATTACAGCCGACTGCTCGTCCGACAGTGATTGCGGAAGAAGCGGACTCTGCCAGTCGACGCCAACTTCGGCCTCGAAGCAATGTTTCTGTACTGGGGGCCTTTTTGGCGAACATTGCCAGAAAGGTAGGGAGGAAAAGGTTTTGGGGATGATAGTATTAGCGAACAAAGTTTTATTACAGTGAGCTCACTCATGAAATCACCTTCGGAGTTCGATGAAACGCTCTACAGTATGAGGGAAGTCGAAGACAATAAGATCTACTGGAGGATAGTCAATGTGAGTACGAAGTTTTACCATAAAAAATAATTTTCACTATCGTGAGAAAGAGATGAACTCTTGCAATCTTGCATGATAATTTTCCTTACGTGGTCTTCAAAATGTCGAAATCCTTCTTACTTGTATTGATCGCTTATCTAATCCTTTTCTATTAGTAAACATAACTGAATCAGGGAATTACAAAATGAAAAGGATTATTAGATTTTGCTTTGCTAATAAATAAACTGCAGCTTGACAAGGAAGACATTTCGGTCCACTGACAAATTCGAGTCTTTATCACATAACAGACCCGCTCCAACCTTGACGACTCGGTCCTATAGACCCTCCTAAAAAGGCCCCCCGATAATGGAGTATAGAACTCGAAGTTCTGTAGAAAGTGCACGTACAAACATTAAATAGCGTAATGTGTTGTGAAATGTGAGTTGAAAGCGTTTAAAGAACTGGTTCATCCGGTAATTTTTTGCATAGAAAGTTTAAAACCTGATAACGCTTTGTAGGAGGTCAACAGCTGTCCTTCCGAATTTTGTTGCAATTTTTTTACATATGCATTTAAGGAAGACTCCTTTAACAGAGAGTTTTTTCTTGGAAGACTTTTAGTAAAGTGTTCCGAGATCATCGTTCATTTTTCACTAAAAATCATTGATCAGGAATTTGTCTTTTTTTGGTTTTGTTACCCAGAACATCAGCCTTGGCAGTAGTAAAACTTCACGCTGAACCGAAATTCTTGATTGATGTGATAATTAGTTAATGTGTTTGTAGACTGTGTCGAATATTAATTGCTTACGAATCGCACAAAAACGCAAAATCTTACCGATACGTTAGCTTATATTTTTACTAAATGAAAATGGATGGGTAAGGGAAGCATGGTAGGATCCCTTAATAACTTTTTATCATAAAGTCATAAGAAATAATGTTCCATACCTTACAAATGGAAAACAATCAAGTTTATAATTGCGCAGCAATATCCTCATTTAAAGTTTCATCCTATCTTGTGATCCGTTTCTTATAAAACGTTACGAACTTTATTAAACGTTCCTAATTGAGATGATTTAGGATGAGATCGAATTTGTTTTACGATATCCTGGACAATCTTGGGCTGCAATCGGTTGGAAGCCACAAGACTACGAATGTCCTCGTGATGAGCCAAGAGTCGAGACATCAGGTATTTGGACCCTTCAGAGCCTTTCATGTTTGAGATTTTGTACATTTTGATAAAACTTCTCATGTGCAAATCTAATTTAGAGTTTAAGTAGTGTTCAGCCTCTCTTTTGTGCTCCATAAAATTCAAATCTAGTCTTTTTAGCTGGCACAACAACAACAGTAGGCCAAACTACTCTACAGCGCGTTGAGGTGACGAGACCCACGACAACGACGAAGCCGTCAACAAGTGCAGAAGTTACGGAAAGCGTAAAAAGCTCAGAAATTTTTGCCGTTTCTTCTTCCATCACGACTTCGACAGCACCAGTGAATGCCTCTAGCAGTAAGTATCTCTCTTCTATACAAGGAAAGCATTGGATGGTATGAGTTTAGGTGAAGAATGTGGCCCAAATGAACAATGGTCAAAGTGCCCGGAGACATCTAGAGATTGTGAACCATCGTGCGATTGGACGAGATTTCCCGAAACCATTCCAAATTGCCCGCGATCGTGCGGAACACCGCGATGCATCTGCAAGGTAGCGTTTAGGAATTTGGGGTGACTCACAGAAATTAGAAGAATTATTTGCAGGAAGGCTACGTTCGTATGACTAACGATGAGGAAGTTTGCGTTCCATTTGAGTTCTGCGATAAGGAGGTAAAATAGTGGGAAGTGGCCCTTTTGCACAATACAGCATGCTACAGTACTTCGGCCCTAACTGCAAAATGGTTGCGATTTTGTTTGACGCGTTGCTAACGCTCATAAAGAGAACCATTTTTATTTTCATATTTATCAACAAAAATAAGGCGGTAGATAGTGGTGCTGCCAAGTATTGGGCAAGATTACGGTAGCATACGGTATGTGTACGATACATAATATATGGTGCAAGAGAGACCACTACCTAAACTGACAGTATAGAACATACCTAGCTAAATGCTCTAACCAATTTAGGCCGAACCATCTTGTCCAACAAACTCAACTTGGGCCAAATGTGGAACAGCATGTGAGCCAAGCTGTGCCAATATGTACGACACGGCCCCTTGCCCGGCCACTTGCGAAAAATCCGCATGCACTTGTGCTGACAACTATGTCCGCCATGAAGGAAAATGCATCTACTGGGGAGATTGTCCTGGTAGGTTCTTCGATCAGGAAAATTCGAATATTTGCTCCTCATAGTAAAATTTTGTACTCAAGAAAAGGGCGTTTTTGAAGTAACACATCATTTTTTCAGATATCGACAGTCATTTTAGCGACATCAAGGAAACCACGGAAGTAGTTCAAGTTCCTGCAGTTTCAGGTGTGTATGTTTTGTATCACATATTTAAAAATGGAGTTATAATCTCAGAAAAATTTTACGGCCAATCAAAAAACTTTGCTTGATTCATTTTTTCAAAGGCAGTATGCTTATTTCAATTTTCCAAAGTCAGTGTACTCGCAAAAAATCGAAATAACAGAATGGCCCAAAAATCAACTCGCTTAACTTCAGTCAGCTCATAGAATCAATCCAGGATAGGAATTTGAACTTCGATAGCTAACCCTTCAGTCAAAAAACCAATATATGGAAGTCTAAAACTCCAATTTAGCGAATTTCCGTATAGTTTTGCGAAACTCATTCTTCATACTCTTATAGCAGTCTTACGGAACCCGTTGAACACTGAAGTTTCCAACAAATTTATGGCTTTTTACAATTTCGCATCACCTCTCATAATCTAGTCTTAGCAACAAAAAGCAGCGCCATTTTTAGGAGTTATAGCGCTTAGTTAAATCAAGCGGAAGAGCACTTTGACACAATGTCTACAATAAGAGAAAAGAAAAGAAGTCTCACTTTAATGTTATGGGTAAAAAACGGCTGTGTGCAAATGGCAATCCTTAAAAAAATTTGATTTGAAAAAAATCTTCTCTGAAGGAGTATTTGCTTCTCTTGTAATATGTTATGTTTTGGAAAAACGGATCACAATGGAACTACTTTTTTTCTATTCTTGTTAGCCCCGCTTTGTTGCCTGGTTTTTTAGCTCACATAAAGAGTAGTAAAACTTTGGATGCTCATTTGTTGCCTCGAATTCGAACTTCATACTTGTGAAAATTCCTACAGGTGCTAGATTTGCATCCGCGCGCTTCGGGACCACATTGCCGCTCCCGCTATCTGATGTTTTTTGAATTGGCGTTACGATTAATTTATATTTTAGATCAATATGATACAATCTATTCGTTTTTGTGATTAGTCAAAAAATATAAAATAAATCATGAAATTCGAATTTTGAATTCGACATAAGGCGTAGAGTAGTGATAGATGAATGTGGCTTTTCTTATTTAGCCCGCACAATTTTTGAGGATTTAAGTATGTCCACAAAATTTTGTTCCACGCCTTACTTTGGGATTCTCATGAGAGGATTTCTAGCTACATATTTTCCCGAAATCTGATACTAGTCAGTCATAATACAGGTTCAAAAAACGAACACCAGACCATAACCAAAAAATCTCCCTGACCTTTTTGACCTGCTTTTCTATATTTGAGTTCAATTTATAATCACTTCTGTAGATTTGTCATGCAGAAAAAGATACACTAGTCGGACACTAACGAACGTCATATTCTACCAAGGACTTTCGGAGTTTTTTCTACTTAATCAGCGTCCAAATCTATTGCGTTCAGTGACCTTACAGTAATGTGATTTGTAAAGCACACTGTGTTCGAAGAGTACAGAGCACATTATCTTGGGGCGATTTATTGCACAAAAAGGTACTTTGACATGGATAGCCAAATTTTTTCTAATTTTTTCTGAAGTAATCCATACTCCTGTTTCCAGTGGACGTCCCAATCCAGACAGCACCACGAACAACGACAACTACGCAAAACCCTGAAAGTCTAAAATGTGCCGTAAACGAGACGATTGTTGAATGTGGACGAGTTTGCGAGCCGGACTGTGTGTCGATCTTCTCCAGGACCGACTGCGATAAATGTGGAACCCCAGCATGTGCTTGCATGCAGGGTTATGCTCGAAATCCTGAAGGAGTGTGCGTTTACTGGGGCGATTGTTCTACTGAAGGTGAATTTTTTTCGGATGTTCAGATAGGGGAAGCACACGATTTTTTCTCATCGTGTAAAGCGCTCATAAAAACAAGCGAATTAGAAGAGTCTTGATTCAATGTTAATTTCGAAACGATTGCGTCAATAGTGTGTTTATATGAGCTCAAGGCTGTAAATTTTTAGCAATTTTCTTGATTTTTAATCAAGCCCTACCGTGGTTAACTTTGTAAAAATACAATATCAATTCGGTCTATTTTTTATGTTCTCTTTGATATCTTTGTTTCTTCTGTTTGAAAAAAATGAGAAAAATTTTTCTAGGACTACAAACAAAGTCCACAACATCTCAGAGCACTGCTTCCTCTTCCAAATCGCAAAAACAGAGTAAATTGAAAGGTTTGTTATTTCTATCTACCTACATACACATTGAAGGGAATCGGGTGGGGTGGGGGGGGGGGGGGGATAGAGGCAGATAAATGACATTGCGCCCGAAATTTTTTGGAGTACTAATGGACCAGTAATCTAATGGTGCTGTTTGGAAGAACGTTCGCTTCGCCCGCCGCGGTGTCCTGCTATTGGAAGATTTTTGAGTTGAGCTAACGATTCTTTATATATCAGATTCGACAAATTTATGGCAAAGTTTTAGTTGGGGTATGCCCTTCATTTGGGAAACTTCCAGTGTATACTATTCCCGTCTCTTTGTAATATTGTAGCGATGCGCTTTACTTTCATGATATCCAATTTCTGAAAATTTGTTTTACAGTCGGTGGAGATGTCTGCTATGGAGATTTCCGATACCCTCCCGGATGCTCTGATTGCGACTACAAGCTCTCGTGGAATTACATCGATGAAACTGATGAGATCGAGTTTTCGTTGGAAACCAAACTTATGACCGATTCTTGGACTGGACTCGGACTCAGCAAGGATGGATCCATGGTAAATCGTTTTTGCATAAATATCACATTAATGAGAAGTCGTAAAATACGGGATCACTAAAAGGATCGCTTTGATGGTCCATAAGTTTCGTGCCTCTTATCTTTTACGGAACTCATGTTTCGCCAAAGGAGAGGACTGGTATAGACTTAGACTAATTATGCGCAGATGGGAGATCATTAAAACTACTATTGAAATACGGTAGGATCTTCCCGCGCTTAGCTCATTTTAAGACCATCACGGAAATTTTTCTGAGATTTATAAGGGAGTTTCTATAGAAATTGGTTCTTTGACAAAATTTTCATGGTATTGTGATATTTAATACATGGGTAAGTTCAGGTTACAGCAAAGTGTCAGTACACTGAATCTCGGGATTTTATTATCTTATATAGTACCGTTGAATAAGATTGCAGTAACTGCAAAATTCGCGTTAGAAAACGCCCTACAGTTATGTAGTAAAGAATTTCCATATATAGCGGAGTCTTTCTAACAAGATTGGCCTTATTTATCACGGAGATTTCAGAGTAGGTGGCGGATAGTTTTTTTTTTTCAAATACTAGGCTGTTGCATAAGTTCTGTCCGATTTTTTTGCCTCATGTTTGAAGCAGCTGTTCTGAGAGAATTTCATCTCTAATTCGATACGGTTGGTATCATTGAAAAGTGCTTTCCTTGCGCTTTCTAAAGCATACCAGAATTCAATAAAATTCTTAGTGTACGGAGATCACAGGCCTAAAATCTCTAAGTGGCCGAGGTACGTTCTATCCCTAGAAATATGTCCTTGCGAGGATATCTCCACAATGCGCCCTTCAAGTCAGGTTCTTTCATTGGCTTCGGAATAAGGGTATGGAATGCTAGTATATGCAGAAGTTCGGTCCCATGAAGAGTACGTCTTGCTAGTGAAATTTATCCTCGAACATAAATCTTTGGTATAGATGTTTTACAAGCAATAACTTTCTGCGAATAGAAGTAATCGACAAGCTCAAAGTTGGAGGTGCTAGGGCAAAGCAAGAGCTAACAGGGCCCATCCACCAATTCCTTTTCGGCGCTCACGTCAGTTGTAAAACGTTCGTAGTTCATAAATAGGCATGCACACATGTGCTGAAGCGAGGTCAAAAAGTGGCTAATTTTTTGTTCGGTCAAGAAAATCTCTCGGCAGCGCAAACCCTATGGGCTCTTTTATGTTGTATAATAATCTACGAAAATTTCTCTATCCATCCATTATTAGAAAAGATGCCTATCAATTTTCATAAGGGAGCGTTACCATGTCAAAAAAGAAGATTCGAAGAAAAACGCTGCGAAGTTTTTGCATTCTTGGTTCTTCCTTAACAAAGATTTGCGCAGATCTCGATACGCATTTTTTTAGCCAAGGGACTGCTCAACACATAGAAACTAAGACCTTGGAAAAAAGTTGACTCTGAAAGAAGTTATGACATTTTAAACTCAAAAATTCAAATCGGACAGAACTTATGCAACAGCCTAGTAGAGATACTGTCATCCACAAGGCCTTAAAGTATCTCGGAAATCTATTTTAGGTCTTTAGAAGAAATTAATTTTTGGAGAGATTTTTTTAACGGTAAGTAAATTGTGAGAGTAAAATCATCAGAGAGTATGTTACCTAATTGGAAAAACCTTTTTTAAACATTTCATATCCTGCAATCTAACATTGAGCGGAATAGGACGGGTAACTTTCAAAGAAAATAATTTTCTCTTAGCGTCAAATTGAAATGTAATATAACGCAGTTCGCTAAATTTACAGTGATGCCATTCTTGTTTGAGATTATATTAGGTTGTCCGGAAATTAATGTCCGTTTTGAATTTCAACCGCAACAAGGCATACACTTTTCATTCCTGAATAGCTTTCAAGATACCATTCGATAGAGCAAAGCAAGCTCTACAAGATGGCTATCTTGCTTTAACAACAGCTCTAATCCACCTCGAGTTTCGAGCCAAAAACTAAAAAGATTCAACTACCCGAAAAATCGAGAAAAATCATAACTCAGTTCATAAGAGTCGTGCAAAAATTCTAACTTGCTCACGTAAACACTATCCACATAAGACATATATGTACGCTATTGCCGTATTTTTTCCTCTGTTAGAAGTCGAAAAAACGAAAATGTTCATGCTTTTGCCAAAGTGATGCTGTGTCGTCCCCACATAAATAGATGTGTACTACAAATCTATAGAAGTACAAACATAAATTTTCAGTTCTCTACAAGCTTTAGTTCTCGAGAAATATCGAATATAGCTTTCATTAGTCAGGTGGTCCAAACTAGAATTCAAATTTCTCAAGAACTAAAGCTTGCAAGAAGCTGAAAATCCGCGTTTTTACTTCTACAGATTTGTAGTATACATCTACTTATGTGGGGACGACGCAGCATCACTTTTGCAAAAGTAGGAAAATTTTCGTTTTTTCGATTTCTAACAGAGGAAAAAAAAGGCAATGGCGTACATATATGTCTTATGTGGATAGTGTTTACGTGAGCAAGTTAGAATTTTTGCAGGACTCTTATGAACTGAGTTATGATTTTTCTCGATTTTTCGGATAGTTGAATCGTTTTAGTTTTTGGCTCGAAACTCGAGGTGAATCAGAGCTGTTGTTAAATTAAGATAGCCTTCTTGTAGAGCTTGCTTTGCTCTATCGAATGGTACCTTGAAAGCTGTTCAGGAATGAAAAGTGTTTGACTTGTTGCGGTTAAAATTCAAAACGGACATTAATTTCTGGACAACCTAATAGTATCTGTGCGACGGACATGGTTTTGCGGCAACTAGTGCAAAAATATCTTTCAAGGGGGGGGGGGGAGGGGAAAGAGGTACAAGAAGCGTTTCTAAACAAGGGCTTGATTTTAGCCGTGCCCTCTAAAAATGCTCTTCTCTAGTTTCTGATTGTTGAAAAGTAGATCTAATGAACTTAATTTAGTCTGATGCCGATATGATGATCATAAAGTCGCATGCTGGTAACCTTAGCCTACACGATATGTACAGCAAAGGACAGGATTCACCCTCAAGCGATTCGCAACAGAACCTGTTCACGCCAAATGTGGTTTGTACAGTTATTATGCTTAAAGCATTAGCTGTCAGCCATAAAATAAATTCTCCCCCTACAGATTGGTACACATGCCAACGGCGTTCTTCGAGCGCAATTTATGCGGAAGAGGAACACTGGAGACCAGAATGACAAGTCATTCGTCGGGAAATGCTGGAAAATGATGTTTCCGGTTTCGGGCGGGCAACTTGATGAGGTCGGTTGATTCTAGAAAAACTGCTTTTCTTGAGCTGTATGGAATTCTTTGTAGAACGGCGACATCATAGTCAATAGCACTGCTTTATTGTTATCTGACAAAGAAGTTTGTATAAAAAGTTGTCGAGAAGAGGAAAAGAAAGACGAGGGTGAGAGTTTCTTATTTGTTCTAATTAGCTTCTGTAAAACTATATGTGATGCAATTTTATAGTGCAAATTACTTTGACTATTATTACATATATTTTTAAGTACTTTCCAGAACGTTCCTCAACCTTATATCACTTTATTGGAATTTATTTTTTTTAGGAAACGCAGCATGCCAGAGCTCATTCCGTCATCCAGCGGGCTGTACTGGTGAAGACTGCGAATATGTAGCCACCTGGGCTTACAATGACTCTGCCAACGAAGTTCGCTTTGAGATCTCAAGCAAAAACATCGGCAGATGGACCGGAATTGGATTTTCTAAGTGAGCGCGTTATCGTTAAAATCATGGGTTTTAAGCAAGTTTTGCTTTTCACACAGCAGAAATGTTGCCGCATGGAAAAATTGAAATGTTTTCAATATTTTTAGAGACGGACAAATGACAAATTCTGACATCTATACTGGTTGGGTATATGAAGGCAAAGCTTTTGTCACTGATCGTTTCGCGTATGGACGACAACTTCCTGCAATTGATCCAGCAGACAGGCAAGATATCTATGACATCGGAGGCAAAATCGAGGATGAGATCCAGGTTAGTTCTTCTATAATTACAGAAAAGGCAAAATTGCTTGGGAAGTTCTGAATGTTGCAAATGTTTCGCTATTTGGAACCATAGGCGCAGATCCGAGAGCTGTCTCAGTTATAGTATGCATTTTCACAAAAGCTGGACATTTTCTGAATGGATATTTCAAGCGTTTCAAAATCGAAGCAAAAGTTTCAGAATTTACTCCAAAACAGCAAAACTTATAATTGAATAAAAGTCGAAGTAGTCAGAGTGTTCAAAGTTCTATTGGAACTGAAGGATCTGTGTGACTTCCAATTCTTGCTATCACTTTGCTGAAATTTATTCTCGGAACCATTTTTTAAAGTTTTTATTTGCAGTCAGAAAATATAAATCTATTATGTGAACAACCACTATCATTTTAGACCCTTTGGTTCCGTCGTGCTGTTCATTCCAAAGATCGTCTTACCGACTACCCTCTTGATCAGTGCTGGTACTTCCTCTTCCCCATCGGTGGTGGAAGGGTTCTAGCTAGAAAGAGCAGCGACTTCACAAATCCACGTACTCCAATAGGTAAGATAATCCAGCCTTCTTCTTACCACCCTAACCTTTACCTGCAGGTTACCATGACCTCTACCAGCCGCGAGTGTCTCCTAATAAAATTTGTATATGCGATGCTGCTGGTAAACGGATCTCCGAAGCTCCTTCTCGTCTTCGTAGACAAGCACTGGCTGCACCTGCCCCAAAAAGCTCCACTCGTGTGTTTTTCTCTCATTTCTTTCGCATAGCTTCTAACTCGTTTTCTGACTTTAGCAAATGCCATGGAATGCACCGATATGGTTGTCGGTACGGTAGTGAATGGACGTGGACGAGTGCAGGATTTCTACACGCCATCCAAGGTAATACAAATTTTTGAAATTGCCCTAATCAAGAAAGTGTGATTATAGGCCTCTCCTCGCCCTGATACAGTTTTTGGTGGTTCGGACTCTCTGACAGCTGCATCGGCATTCAATGAAGATGGTCTTACTACTGTAGTTTTCCGCAAAAAGCTTAGAGGTAAGCATGATTTCGTCCATTTTTACTTTATGAGAATCGTTTTTAGCTGAGCAATATTATCATGAGTAGAGAGAGCTTTTGTATCAAATTCAGCTAGCAAAAATTGAATATTGACGAACTCTTTGAAATTTCCATGATTTTATGATGTAAAAATTGATTTTTAGTAGACGCTATTTTGATAAATTCTATTTTTTTTTGTAAACTGTTTTAGCTGACGACCAGTGGGATCACACCATTAGTGGACCTATGACCGTAATCTGGGCTAAAGGCGCTGACCCGAACAATTACCAACATACCACTGGAGGTACATACCGTATACCTACCGTGCTCCTCCGTCTTACCCTAAGACATCCGCTTCAGGTGCCCCAATCCAAGCTGATCCCAACTTCTTCTCTGCCAGTGCTTTCAAATATCATGGCCGTAATCATCGTGGTATGCTCACCATCGACTTCCAAGAAGGTAGTGCTATTTTTTCAGGTCACAAAAATATTTTTTTATTCTAAATTTTGCAGAAAGCAAGAAAGATAAGCTACATCACGGTCTACATGTCGACGCTTCAACATGTTCTGGATCATACTCGTTCCCAGCAAGCTGCAAATTCGAAAGAGATAAAGCTGACCGTCAAAATCGATGCAAATATGTGATTAACTGGATCAGTGATGGCGAAGTGGCCAGGTTTAGCTTGAAGGTGAGCTCAACTTTCTCAACCTTGATTTTTACCACATTTAAAATTCCTCAATTTGATGGGACCAGAAATTTTCTTGAAAACTCAGAACTTGTGTCGCTACCTGAGGCAGAAGAGTGCTGAATGGGCGTGGTTTAAGCGGCCAGCCGGCCAATCATAGCTCAGATACTAGAGGGGGTCACCCGCATCTGGCTTCTGTTGGTGGCGGGCCGCCCCCACCTAGTTATTGGTTTTGGCTAACCCAATGGCGAGGACAAATATTTTTTGACATAAAAACTATGGGGGGTGGTGCAGGAGGAACCAAAGGGCTGCCGCCTGTATCCACGGGAGATAATCAAGAGCGCGAGCGCTATGGAGAATATTTTGGCAAGAATCCAAGATAACTTGGTAAGGACATCCTCTAGGAACAAATCTTCATAAGTTTGCCTGGAGATGACTCTGAAAAATTTTAAAATCAGATTTGTAATGCAAATTGAAAGGCGCATTCACTGGGCCTAAAAGTAAATGAAAATCTAATTGTAGTGGTAACAAATGTCAACTACATACAGAAACTTTTTGTTTTGAATTTTAAAGTTTCAAGTTGTTGAAGCCCGGGTTTTCATCCAAAATTCATTCTTTCTTCTTCGAGATAAAGAATTACTTTGTCTTTTGATTCAATGAAAAGCAATTAAAATGTCATAAGAACACATCTGGAGGTTGTCAGGATGCAATATGCAGTTTGTCTCATACCTTCAAACCCATTCTAATTCCAAATTTTGACATTAGAGACTTCATGGGATTTGCCATTGATACTATGTCGGTAATCCTTTATGTCGTACACATTAGCAAAAGTTCATCACAAGCAACTTAGTTAACATTATTTCCTTATTACCATTTCATACTTTCAACTTCTTATCCAAAAATTTCACTAAAATTAAGTTGAAATTTTCACGCAACATTGAGTTTGAAGTTTCAACTTAGAACGGTGAATTTTGAAGGCACAGTTTTTGGTAAAAATCGTTGCGAGACAGAGTTGTTCAACTATCCGGTAAGCGTATTATTGAAAAATGCGCATTTCAATACTGATTCCAAATCTGTCCTTCGTATCCTTGAAACTTGATTCTAAGTAGAGTTATAAGGGTTTGTTTTTGATGGATGTCCTCGCCAAGTTTTCCTGGATCCTTGCCAAAATCTTCTCCACAGCGCTCGCCCTCCTGATTATCTCCTACGGCTATAGGCGGCAGGCCTTTGGTTCCTCCTGCACCGCATCCAAAACTATGCATAGTACAACACCTTAGTGCCCAAGAAATAGGAACCGAAAATAGAGAAATTTTAAAAGTCACTGATTTCTTTTTTTTTCAGGCTAGGACATGGATGAATGAATGGACTGCGATCGGATTCTCGCTCGATGGAGCGATGGCTGGTTCGGATGTCATCATAGTAGGACGAGGTTTACATTCAGAAGTAACCGTAACCGACCAGTTTATGCCTGGTTACGGACGACCAATCGTTGACGAACAACAGGACATCTTCGATGTGGAGGTTTGTACACCACTTCGCTCCCTTCCACCCCCTCATCCTTCGAAGGAAAAGTAAATTGGATTTTTAGACCGCGTACGACGATGGTGTTGTGATGGCAAACTTTTCACGCGAACTCTACAGCAGCGACGAACACGATATTAATCTGCAACAATGCGTCTATCTTCTTTTCACCCCTGGTGGAGGCAAATTCGAGCCCAGTGGTGAGCTGCGCAAGCACGGGGATACACCGATCGCAAGCCGAACTAAGGTATGGAAGGTCTCACTGGCAAACTCTTTGGGGGTTTACGAAACTATTTTTCAGATTTGTCTAAACACCTGCTCCGAGTTACCCACAAAGATCTCGACGAAGGTTCCAGAAGGAGAAAGGAAGGACAACAGAACCACAATAGAACCTACCGAAACAAAAACAGATAAACCGACCGTCAAACCAAAGACGACAACAGAAGTGCGGATGCCGCCCCTTATCAAGCCATCTCGTGAGCTTTTTTCTGGAATTTTCCTCGAGAAAAGTTGACTACCCCTCATGCGCCTCATTCCAGCTCCTTTCGTCGTATTCGAACCAACCGAACCCATCAAATCTCGTTACGGACTACGTGTGCGCATTCTCAACAAAGAATACGTACCTGCTCTATCCGACCCACAAACCGAGTACTATCAGAGCTTTACCAAGACAGTCACAGATGCTGTACGTTTCTCACAGTCTCCATTTTCCCCCCTCAATTTTTTTTGCAGATCAATGACCTTTTGGCAAAACGATGGAAGGGAATGCAAGTCTCAAAGATTGTTGGTTACTCCAAGGGTTCTGTCATTGCCGAGTTTGAGGTAAAATTGCTCAGAAAACTCTGAAGAAAATTGGGTTGTATGAAAAACTTGTACAGGTGGTGTCCGTCGGCGATGTGCCTCGTCCAATCGAAGTAAAGAGCCTCATTGAAGAAACTGCTATCCGAGGCAACATTGGAGAGTTGACAGTCGAGCCTAGCACCATCAAGGCTCATGTAATCGGTAAGTTTCTACTAAATCAAGATCATCTTAGAATTATAATCAATTTTCTAGAAGACGAGCAAGCTGAGGAAATTGTTTTCGGCAGAGCTTTCATCAGAAATCTGGTAATCATTGGAGCCGCAGCCTTACTTCTAGTTATCGCTGTCGTGTGTACTTGTTGTTTACTGTGTCGAGTGAGGAGGACATCTCGATTTGTGAGTTTTTCAACAACCTCATACAAGTAGAGGTCCCAGAAAGTGGTGGGGGAAGAGAAGGTAGCGACAGAATTAGCTAAGCCCTATGAAAAAAAGTCTGAAGTGCTTCAGAAAATTCTATAATAACAAGCTTATGGCCAATAATTTTTTGAAAAACAAATTTGAAGGTGGCGCTGGAATTCTTGAAAATTTTTTTACAAACTTAAATCAGGGGAAGGCAGGGAACGCGCGTTCCCGTTTGGTCCCTCACTGCCTTATAGTGGATGGTGCCTGCAGCTAATGATTTTCTTCTCAGGACTCTTATCCTGTACCACAGCCAACACCGTTCCTTTACGGTAACGGTATAGCGAAGACTCCAGCCGGCTTCGACAACGCTGCCTTCCTCACCCATCAAAGGCATTATTCTCAAGCAACTACGGCTTCCACAAAGCCCGGAGGCAATAGTCCCCAATCAGCAGAGAGTAGGGACGAAACACCCGGAGGTATTGGCGAGACTACCTATCATGAGTGGTACTCGAAGGTGAGCTGATTGAAAGCAATTTTCTGCTCTGCTCTAAAAATTTATAAACTTTCTAGGTCGGTTCAAAACCCGCCTCTCAGCACCATGAAGAGGCCTTGGGAGTACCTCGACCACCGTCGGCTACACCCTACGTTTCGTATCCAAATGATCCGTCTGGATACTATACCCTAGGCGGTGAGCATCGAACGGAATCCTCAAACAAACATTTCCGATCTCCGTTCTAAAACTCGTCCACACTATTGCTAATATTAACCTGCCATTTGGAGTAAATAGGCTTCATTATAAGTTCAGAGGTATTTTTTTCTGTTTGCTCCAGTGATTATGGAGAACATTCTTGCGTATTTACATTGTGCTTGTAAACTTGGTTATTTCTTTGCCAATCGTATATCGAAACGATCATTTACGAGAATAGTAGGGTGCTAGTGTGATCTTTACTTGTCGATCATTCCCAAAGTTCACTTATCTTCAAATTTCATTGCTCTAAACTCGCACGTTATGTGTCTTGCCTTGCAAACAAATGGTACGTGCATAGTTTTATTTCATTGTGTTGTTGATTGCTATATAAATTTTAATATATCTATTATAACACATACACTGTTCATACCAATTCCTAAGTTTTCGCTTCAAACTACACCATATTTTCGCTGCTTCTAGCAACTCTCCCTGGTTCTGTCTCAACTCAATTTGAGGAAAATATGAAGAACGACCTTTACTTATAAAAAAATAATAACTTAGTTTATATGTATTCAGCAATCAAATGTGTCCTAACTAATTGCTACTCTCAATGAAGCTTTGCGGAGTGCAGATGTGGTAAATATTTTTCTTCCATGAAGGACGTTAAAGCCGAAATGTCACCAGATAGTATTATCCTTTACTCATGCTAACCATGCAATCATTTGAGCAAGCATATAGGAGTTGCCTTTAGCAAGTAAGAGGAAAAGCTTCGAAAGTACTATGTAACATTCATTTATCTACCAAATGCACAAGAAGCGCTATTATAAAACAGCAGAAAAAACTAGGTAATAGTCAGTAAGGAAAAAGAAGAAAAAACATTAAATCTAGACAGGCATTTACCCAGGTAAATACATATGAGATAAATGTCAATAAAGTATGATATCAAGATTGCAACATTCAGAATTTACTACCTTAGCCAACCTTATATCGTTGATTAATGAAGACTGGCAGATGTTAATGCGTTTTTTTCGATCATGAGGCATGAAGATAGTTACTCATGTATCTAAATGAAATGCACCTAGTAAATACGGAGTAAAGTTGGGATTGATTGACAAGGGAAGGATATGTGGTCGAAGTGGAGTTTTCATATGAAATGCATGCTATCTTACAAGCATGAAACGCTGATTCCAAATTTGCATTCTATATATGTAAGCGCTTTTGAGAAGGGAGTTCTGGGAATTTTTTGAGGTGAAAGTTCAATGATTTGGCTAAGGTAGAAACAAGTGTCGAGATCTTTTCGGCACTTGAAAGGAGTTATGAGTGACATGTATCTATTATATTGAAGTTATTTATCGTATAAAACGCTATGGTAGTAAATATGGCCACATCTGGATCACGGACTAAAGTTCTGAATGCTTTTATTGTATCGAAATTTCCATAACTCCACTCAGGGCTTTGCAGATATCGAAAGCAGATTTGAAATCAGCGTTTCAAGCTTTATAAAATAATTTACATTTCATATTGATGCCACTTCGACCAAGTATCCTTCCGTTGTGAGAAGCACAAGTATATTACGGCAATCAACATGTAGAGTTTCTCTAGTAATATCAGTCCTGTGAAACAACTCGACATCTACCGAGCTTCGTGCCATGGAACATGTGTAATTACATAGTTCGACAGTTACAGTTTACTTAGTTGGCTCTCTATTGGCTAATGTATAGTGTAACAATAGTAATTATCTATGTTGATCCAGCTAACAACCTCGATTTTGATTGAATGTTAGAAGAATCAAGAAATATTTAGAAACATCTCGCCCACAACAATGTTCAGAATCCTACTTTATGGAACGGTGCGTGGGGAATTTCTTGTATTAGGTTGGTGCAAAAGGAATGGCCGATTTTCCAAGCCTTTTTTCAGGGCATCTTTTCCACATAATTCTTTTTCTTTACAATAGATGTAGTATACCATCGCGATGCTGTTTTCATGCTCTATCTAACGGTGCTTAAAGCGTGCTCTCATCATCATTTTTTGTAAAGTTACTGAGCTTCAAATAACCGCATCCAGTATACCATCGCGATGCTGTTTTCATGCTCTATCTAACGGTGCTTAAAGCGTGCTCTCATCATCATTTTTTGTAAAGTTACTGAGCTTCAAATAACCGTATCCAAATTCAGAATTTCATTGCTTTCACTTTTCCGGCCAGAATTCAAGCGCGTATCAATGGGATTTCTTCGGAAATTTAGCTATTGTATGTAATAGAAATTGTCTACATTATGTGTACTAACTGCATTCTTTGAAGTTATCCAGACTGACATATCGGCGCCCAAACATGAGTAGCTGTTGCGGTCATTTTATGACCCATTTCTTCTGAAGAAGTCAATCACCGGAGCTTTGCTCAATTCTGTAAGCGTAGGGCTAGGGCATCCTGTTAGCAGTTTTTGCAAAAACATCCAGCTGTTCAGTACGTAGAAAATCAGAAAATTCTATATTCCGGACTTTGAGGCACAGTGAAAAAATGTTGAAAAGACTGAGAAATTTTAAATTTCAATTTTTTTTCTTTTTCGCAAAATTTCTGTCCGAATTGTTTTCATTGCGTTTTGTACTACTGGTTTGCGGCTACAAGATAGGCTACTTAACATTTATACTAACAAACTTTGAAGGAAGATATGAATTGTCAAAGACAAGGTTCTAGCAGAAAAACCTTTTTTATTTTTCAATCCTTATTTTTCTGCCCGTTCGTGATATGAGTATAAATAAATGCGCGCTGCATTGCAGAAGGTTTGCTGCTTCTGATAGTTTTTACCGCATTCGGAAATGTGGATTCTTTAGAAAGTTATAGCACGTCAAGTTGAGAATTCGCAGATCGGCCATTCCTTTTGCACCAACCTAACATCTCATTAAACTCAACTATTTTCAGGCATTACTATTAGCAAGTAATCATGCTAGTTCTATACATCGTATGTTCAATTATATCTGCTTATGTTTTTCGCAAAAATTTATTTTATTTGTTCAGCACGTGAACGACCCGCCAATAAAACAGAAAAGGTGAGATTAGATATACCATACTGTTCCGAAAGTTCTGTCCGAGTTTCGAGTTTTTTTATTCAAATTGTTCCAACTCCATTTTTTGGATGTCTCTACATTCCTTACAATGAGCAATATTTTGGCTACCACAAGGACACCGTGCTATAAAAGAGGCTACTAAGGGAGACAAAGAACTAAAAACTTTCTTCGAGTTTTCCTCCAAAATCGTCCATTTTGGCACGGCAATGCACTCACACGCGAAATGACAGACATATTCACTCTCATCATTGGATAGCTTAAAATCCAAAGAGTAAAGCGAATACATGTAGTCGATGTTGCACAAAAATTTCTTTGAGCAAAAAGCCTTTTTTGAGCCGCTTCTACGGCATGCGGAAACGCGCTTATTTTCAATTATTTGAATTTTTTACATGTCGGGTACGAAAATTGCCAACCCAAGGATGGGCTCTGCTTGTAGCTTGCTCTAACACACAATATTGAAACGTATCGCTAATATCTGTGGGAGGACCGACCTTACGACATACAACTAATTGACAATCAAGACAATTCTGATCTGATAGGAATGTGCATATGCTATCCCTTTGATTGCTTATTCGCTTCACCCTTTTATCTAAATAACTACATCGGCAGGTCAAGGGAATTGTTCTACAAATACAACATTCTTGGTTATTGCTAAACTCTGGCACATTGCGCACTTGACGCAATACGGAACAGTGAGGATTTTGAACAAAATCAGTGAGCATTATATCACCACATTATATGCAAGACTTCATGAAAACTGCTGCAACAAACATGAGGCAACAAAAATCGGAGAGAATTTTCGGAACAACTATTATGGGTCCTGAATTCTCGCAGAAAAGCTGAACGAAACCCGTGGGCTATGTCTGAATGACAACTTTCATTGAACCATGAATATTTCAAACTAACACCTCTACAAGAACACGATTTAAAGTAAATGATAAAATATCAAGAGTTATTGGATTGCAATCAAATGAAGTAGCTGAAAGTATCATACTGCAAATAAGTAGATGTGCAGAACATTAAACGCTGGCCTTCGTCAAGAAAACAAACCAATGAAGTACAGTGTAATGGTGAATCCCAAATAACAATTTCCACCTTTCTTAAGGGCTTGCTTCGAACTGCTCAAAACGAAATAGTAAGGCGCACTGATGAAACATGAAACATAGTGAGACTAACTGCTGAGTCTGGCTCGTGGGTGGAAGCAAGGTACTTGCATTTGGGATGCTTACAGAGAACAGCACGGAGAAGGTGGAACTGATTGTGCTAAAAACATGGTAACTTGTGTTATCTGAAACGCAAAATTTTTTCTTATTGCAAATTTAATTAACGTCAAGAGCATCCTAATCTTACAGTGGTAATTAGGTCGCTGGCTTTTGTCAAGAAAACAAACCAATAAAGTACAGTGTAATGGTGAATCCCAAATTTTTTTAGTCTGAAAACAATCCCGAAAAAACTATGGAAGAGATACCCGAGGCAGTCACCCCTGTGGAGGAACCGAATGCAGTAAGTCTGAACACTGAGAATCTCACTGACAGAACCAAAGCAAAATTTTCAACATCGCCTTAGTTTGAACAAAATGAGTAGATAGAATTAGGTAGACACTAAACTACTAGAGCTAATGTTTCATAGTCAAAATCATTTGAGTGACAACGTTACAAGTTTCCATTCAGCTACAGAACTTCTCTGAGGATGGTGGATATGGGCAAGGTAAAGAAGGCAATGCTGATCTCGTTGAGGCCGAAGAAGGAGAACAGGGCGTGGGTTTCTTGGCTTAGACCGATGACTGTTACAGGCGAAAAAAAAAAGATTTTATTCTTGTGCAGTGATTTTGATACGCAAAGAAAATTTGAGAGGCAGTGATTATTTAGCTTGGGAATCAACTGAATTGCGACCACATTAACTAGCCCGTTTTCCTGGTTTTTCGTCTACATCTTTTAGTCTTTAGCATATAAACAAACATAAAAGCTCTTCTACCATGGAAGGTTCATCAATAGTGATTACGATGGATTATTCTTTTCTTGAAGGAAAGCGCTAAAACTAAGGAAAAGAAGGGATATGCGACGTCTAGTCTAAATCCTGAGGCACCTGAATCGCCGCAAG